TTTTATATAATAAAGTTGGGTTGATTTAATATGAGTATTATAATATAGCCACCAATTTCACTTTGCCAATAGTAAAGTCATTTTTCTACCAAGTTAACCACTTTTCAACTTCTAATAAAGGTAAAATCATTAAAATTGGTCTGGTAATTCTTGAGATATCTTGATTTTTCTTCTTGTGATCATATAAAATTTCTTTACTATTATATAAAGAAATTTTATATGATTGCAAGAAGAAAAATTAAGATATCTCAAGAACTACAAGACTAATTTTAATGATTTTACCACCATTAGAACTAGAAAAATTAGCTCTACAATCTTTATTAGAAGTTGAAAAGTGTTAACTTGGTAGAAAAAAAACTTTACTATTGGGCAAAGTGAGATTAGTGGCTATATTATAATATTTATATTAAGTCAACCCCAACTTTTACTATAAAACTATTATTTATAGGCGAATCACAAATAAGCATTTGACAATTAAAATATGCCGAAAGCACAAAATGTATCAATAGAATGATATATTCAGCGATTATCATAATTATAGCAACTTTATATATTTAATATTGATGAATAAAAGTTTTAGGAATTTAAAAATAGCAATAACTTATTTAATATAGTTAATGATTTTGTAAAAAATTGCAGAATTATGAAAAATGTACAAGTAAAATTTTTAAAAAAGTTGTACAAAATTTATATGTACAAAAAAAACTAAATTTGTGTAAGTGAAAAAAAATTTTATCTGTAATTATAAAAGCCATTTTTGTTTTGAATTTTAAACACTGCCCACAAGTTAATTGCTAGTCTACTCAGATAAAATATAAGTATGATATAACCTAAAATTAGCTAACTTGGCTTTTTTGAGGATTAAAAATTAGTAAAAAAAAATAAAATAAAAATAAAATAATAAAATAAAAAATAAAAGAATAAAAAATAAAATAAAAAATAAATAAAAATAAAAAAATAATAAATAGACAATTACTATTTGGGGTGGTCAATAAAAACCAAGCAAATTTATCTAACAAATTTGCTTGGTTTATTGACCACTCTCATTTGTACACTAGTGTATATACACAGGGTAATATTGTTTCTCAAAATTTTGATTATGAAACCACCTTGGCTTCTAACAAAAAAAATTTCTAGCAAAAATTTGGTATAAACTAACCCTTGTCCCAATTTCAAACCTCACCCTTATCAGCTATAAGCAAGGGTTTAATTTTTCATTTGTAAAACTTTTGATTAGCATGCTACACAAATTTTTTTAAAAAAAGTCTACTAAATCTACCAAAATTCATATATTTTTTTTTATTAATACCATATTTTTATGAAATAATGTTAAATATATGTACATTATTTAGAGTATGCACATGGGCATTATTTTGAGTACGCGCATGGGCATTATTTTGAGGGCATTATTTTGAAACAAGAATAAAGTTTTTCTTTATCTAATTATTAGTTGAAATCTTAATGTAGGTGCGCATCATTTCGGGACACATATGGGCATTATTTTAGGACAGTGTTTAAAATATATATGCAAAATCTGTGGTGTGCAGATTGAAATTCATTCAAGCAAATTTTCTGGAATCTGCGGATTGCCTTTTATTATACTACACCAGGGCGTAGGATCGATTTTACTGTCACATGATTTCCGACGTCTATTAGCCAATTAAAATTCAGGATCGTGTGTAATGTAAAAAAAATCAAACCAAATGTTTGCTTTACAAAAAACACATTTATCTCGAAATTTAGTCTAGTAAACTATCTTTGAAGCTCTAATAAAAAAATTTCCTTGTGAAATTTTACTATATAAGTGCTCTTCTAATCCTCCCAAACTCTAACCTGGGCATAAATAAAGTTTTTTAGATTTGACGATATTTGTTTTCCGACTATTACATGACAGTAAAATCGACCCTACGCCCTGGCGTTGCCATTTTATTATGCGCCATACATGTGACCGGGCACCCAAAAAATTTTCGATCATAAGTGACAAATATATCGAGCACCAAAAAGTCATTTAACTTGAGCAAACAAAAATTTATAGACTAAAAAATAATAACAAAAAGCAATAAATTAATCATTTTATTATTCCAAATAAACTCGATAAACGTAATATTTACTAGGAAATCAGGATCTGATAAAAGTCCGAAGCTGTTTAGATTATAAATAATGTATTGTAAGTGTATTGTTAATTACTGCAGATCTTCACGAGGCCCGTTAATTCTAGATTTTGATTGGTTTTTCCGACTAACTTACGTATTATTATTACGATTTTTTTAAGGATTCCATTGCCTTTTAATCGTTTATTTGTTACTATTTGGATTCCTTTTTGCTCAAATAAATAATCAGAGTTATAACCTTCGGGAAGAGCATTCAAAATAACATCTATAAGATTTTCTGGTGCAATTGCATTTGCCTGATTAGTTTTTATAATCTAATTCTTTTTTTCATTTATCATTAGTGGAAATTTGGTTACGGAGAACAATGTGTATTTTTAGAATATTGTGTTATTGAATTTTATGTTTTTAAAAGAATTCAAAGATCGTTTTACATTTTGAAGAATTGAAGAAAACAAAATCATTTACTAAATCAATTAATACTTTATTAATTATTATTTTATGATCTCAATCATGATGAATTGACAATACCACATGATTTTCGAAACTTTTTTGGGTGGCGATTTTACCCGATCCATACATGTCATACATCTTTTTTTTTAATTTTTATTATATTTACAAAATTATGAAACAAAATTGAATTTTAAACGCTGAATACGGGAGTGGAGAAGAATCACGTGAAATAGTATGATTGACCAAAAAATAGGAATGATGTTTGGCCAAAAGTTAATCAAACATTTGTAGACCGTCAATTAACTGACGGTCAATTTTTATTTTATTTAAAAAAAGATTACAAAATAGCATAAAAACCACCACGAAATAACGAAGAAAACTACCACGAAACGATATAGAAAATCATCACAAATAACGAAGAAACCCGAAACGATGTAAAAAGTCACCACGAAATGACGAAGAAAATCACAAAACAACGTAGAAAACCACCACGAAATGGTTAAGATAATCATGAAACGGCGAAGAAATCATCATGAAATGGCAAAAAAAAAAAAAAACGGCCACAAAAATGAAGTAGTAAGAACCAAAAAAAAAAAAACTCTAAAGAAAATAAAAGTACTTACCCAACACCAAAACCACGAAAAATCGCCAGGAATTTGAAAAAGGTTAAGTAAAAAAATCAAAAAATATATATATAGAGTGGAGGAAAAGAAAAAACTCTGCTTCGGAACTTCCTTTGCCACCAAAAGTCATTAGCCACCACAAAGACTGAAAAAAATAAAAAATCGCGCGATCTATATGATCACCAATCATCACCAATCTGATAGCAAGCCCCCGAATTTGGTAGATTTATTTATACACACTTATTGCAAGAACTAAAAAAAAAAAAAAGCCAAATATAAAAATTTTTTACATTTCTTAGAATAATTTTAATCCTGATGTTTTTTTTTATAGAAAAAAATCGACTATTTTTATCGATTACAAGCATATAACAGATAACGATAACGATAAGTTTTTGTCCCACATAAAATTGAAACACAATCAGTATAAATTGCATTAATAATCTCATAATTACGGATATCAATGAAAACTTGATTTTGGGTGTAGTGTAAACATATTCATAACTTATTGATGTTAATGACTAAAATAATAAAAACAATTCTATTATCGTTATATACTATAATAAAGCATGTGCGATCAGGGACACCGTTTTTTTTTTTGTAGATTAAGGGCAAAAGTTTTTTGTTTTCTTTTTTGAATAACGTAAAAATTGTAGATTAAGGGCAAAGGTTTTTTGTTTTCTTTTTTGGATAACGTAAAAATTTGGAAAATTTTGGATTTGGCCGACATTAAGAAATTAAATTTCATAATTCTGGCCACGTCACATGATTTTGAATTATTCGAAATTAACAGACAACGTGATCTTGTAACCAATCAAAAATGTTAAAATCATGCATTGAAATTTTCTTTTTTTTTATAGGTATATAGTTTCGGCGTGACTAATCAGATAAACAATAGAATTGTATAATTTTCGCGCAATCATTTTCCTTACACCTAATTCCTACCAACGTTAATTCTAAACAACTCAGGCAAACCTTAGCTATCGGGAATATGTTAACATTCCTTGAATTTACCTTAAAAATAACTTAGCCGGCTAAGCCGATGACTTAGCCAACAGCTTAGTCGGTTGACCATTAGTTGGTCGGCTAACAACACTAAATCAAATTCGATCCGACTTCCATAAAAGGTGCGATCAGTGCGGAATATCTAAGCATACAATTTATTATTATATATTATTATTATTATTACCGGTATTATTTATTATTAAATTATTTGGTTTAAAGGCTGCAATTAACTTAAATGACCACAAAGCGAATCTTGAAAGTAACTAAATTCTATTAGTCGCCATAATCATTCATGTTGTAAAAGTCACCTATCTTCAATGATCTGGCGTAGAAGCCCACATAATTCTATGCAATATTCTGGTTATTTATCTCAATGGTATATAAAAAAGAAAAAAGTTCGCCTCTAAGCCCGATTTGCTATATCTGATATGAAACCAATTGTGAGTTCTGGAGGTTGCTGAATACTGCATTGCAACCATTATTGATTGCAGGTACTGTAACATAATTGTTAACATGCGATAACATGAGTACGTATATATATTAGCGTTTAACTTTGATAAATACTGTTACGGTAATTCCAATATATATTCTAATAAAATCGATCTATCGGGCCGAAAAAATTAGCTCAGCCAATTTATCAGTTATATAAAATCTTGCCAAAGTTTGGTTACACAATACTCAAACAATCATTACAGATTTTCAAATAACGTCATTAAGCATGTCTAGGTGTTAAATAAATAGTTACGAACTTGACACGTAAAAAAAAGAAAACAATTCCCTTTCTTTCTCATTATCATTCGATCCTTTCGTTTCGATGTCATTACCAACAATATTCTGCTTAACTGATTCATTATCACAAGATTTTTCAAAATTATTAATACAAGATATCGCAGAAGACTTCAATGTTTCAATATCGGTCGGTGAATTTCCAAATAAAAGGACTTTCTTTGCACACTCTTTAATATTGAGGGCTAGGTCACCCTACTTTCGTAAAGTTCTAACATCAAGAAAATGTGGTCCGAATGAAGATATGATAACGTATACTTTGGCAAACCCGAATTTTTCTCCTACTGCATTCGAGTTTATACTTGGGTAATTCTATCTAAAAAAAAAAAAAAAAAAAGAAAAAGTTCGGATTTTGATGTTTGTTCTTTTTTGGAAATTTGGCAAATCGGTAACGAATTTTATGTACTTTTTATGATTTTATAAATTCACGATGAAAATTATTTATTTTTTTCATCATACATGATCGATCAATTAGATACATATACAGTGGTTACTTGACATTTAAGGATACACAAGACAACGAATTAATTCTTAACACGGCAATAATAGCTGCAGAACTTTACCTAACCGAATTATGCGATCTACTACAATGTCACTTACTATACCTAAAATTTGAATGGGTCCACAGAAACTTTGTTTTAATCCAGAATTCGATATTACGACGTGAAGGTTTGGAAAAATTACAACAACATTGCATCGATAGACTTAAGAAAGAACCAGAATCAATTTTTAGGTTACCAGATTTTGTACATTTGAATGAAGATATTGTTGTGTCACTTCTTAAACAAGTCAATATTCGAATGTCAGAAATTGAAATTTGGAATCACGTTCTTAAATGGGGAATAGCGCAAACTCGAATGCTCAAGTAAGTATGACGTCATATGAGTAATTGTGATATTAAATTATATTATAATAATAAAGAAGACAAAAAAAATAAAAAATATATAATTACTATATTAATTTTTAGTGATAATTTCGTACAATGGTCATCGGATGATTTTCTCATATTGGAATTATCATTGCATAATTGCCTTCCTTGGATTAGATTCTTTCATATGCCATATAGAGAATTTTCTATTAAAGTAATGCCATTTGAAAAGATCTTACCAAACCATCTGGTTCATGATGTACAACTTTATCATTTTGTCCAAAATTGTCGATCACTTCATAATACCGTCTTACCTCCAAGGCTTGGTGTGTGTAACTCATCAATCATTACGTGGAGTCACATGGGACTGATTGCAAGTTGGATTGATCGTAAAGATTGTGAAAATGCTTTGTGGGAACCTTATGATTCCATTGAAATACCATACAAATTCGATTTGATCTATCGAGGAAGTCGAGATGGATTCACTCCAAAAATATTTCACAAAGCATGCGATAATCAAGGTCCGACAATCACTGTTATAAAGATCAAAGGGTTGAATCAAGTTATTGGTGGATATAATCCAGTATCCTGGCAATCCTTCAAACCAAATGCTGGTTGGTCAAGAACTACAGAAAGCTTTATATTCTCAATAGATGTTGGGAAATCGGATTCAATGCCAACAAAAAGGGCAACTACCGTTAGTCGTGTTACAGATGCGAATAAAGCGATTTATAGTTTTGTGGCGTTAGGTCCCTATTTTGGTGATGGAGATTTAAAAGTTTGCATTCGATACGACAGCCCAAGTTGTAGTTGCACGCATAAATCTTATTCTTCGAAAATTCTTGAAAAATCTGATTGGATGGTTGTTGAGGAATACGAAGTCTTTAAGGTCGAAACAAAGAATGAAAATAAATAGAATTTCTGTGATGGGAAAACAAATGATAATATTAAAGTTAGTGAGAACGATAGCACATAAAGATATTGTTTGTGAGAATGTTAGAAGATATGTAAAATTGCCTTGATTACTGATAATTAAATAGAAAATATTGGTTTCTAAAATTTGTATTATTTTGTAGCAGCTTGAAATACTTAGCAAAAATACTAAATAAAATTGTTATTTTTTTAAATTTTTTAAATATCGAATTTATAGTTATATACCTCGCATATGATACTGAAATTTATTGACAAAAAAAAATTTTTTTTACTTTGAATAAAATTAATATCTTTTTTTTTTTTTTTATAAACGACCTCTTAGTCCTGTGGTCTTTATATATAGTCGTATATACGCCTGTATATATTACATATTACAATATATATATATATAATTTATATAGACTACTTAACCTAGGGCTGAGGTGGTTAATTATACGAGCTGGAATTTATGCTACAAATTTTTACCTTTTATATAATTTATTGGTGATCATCACCGGTGTTTATATCTCGAAAATGCAAGTAACTCTAAGTAAAAATTGTTCATCCAGCGGACAAATTTGCCCGCTAAAATCTTTTTTTTTCGATTTTGTGTAATTGCGCCTAATTTTCCTAAAGCAGGCCATGTACCCACGTGACTTTTCGAAGATTTAATTAAAATTAGAATTAGTTAGTTTAGTGTTAGAGTGGGGTTAGAAAAAGCGCAAAATTATAGGTAAAATTGTCTCCCCGACATTTTTTGTTAGTGCTTCAAGACAGGTTTATACTGCTGTTTTTTATATTTTTGCATTTTCTTTATTTTTTAACTTCTTTGGGCTGATTTGTATAAACAAAATTTCACGATTTCAGTTGGAAAAAAGTCACATGATACATGGTTTTTGATGACCCTCTAAAGCAATAGTACCCCTTTTTTAAGCTGGAATTAAAGTATAATATTTTGTGATTTTATCATGTATTAGTTGCACATAACATTGTATATATGTGTTAGCAGTATAGCGATTATCTATGATTGCTACCAATTAAAATTAAAAATAAAATAAATCAAATACAACTGACAAAGGCAAGTTCATTGCATTTATCTCACCTAAAAATACTAAAGTATTTTTTGACAGTAAGAATAAAGAGTACAGTTAGACCCTCCTAAATGCACCCTTCCTAAATGCAGCACCCCCAAGCAGGGTTGGCAATAGACTATGTCCATTGAAAATGAAGTTGTCAATAGATCATAATGGACCAATACCATAATCCATTGGTCCATTGGTCCATTGAATTATGCTAGTTTTATCAAAAATATCACTTTATAAAAATTAATTATAATTAAACTATTAAAATATATTAATGCTATTTTTATTCTATAAATCTTTTAAACATTTAGCAAAAATTAATATCTAAACAAATATAATAAAAAATATAAACTATAATTTTTTTTTATAAATTATTTATTTATACTAGTAAAATTAAAAATTTTGAAAAATATTCAAATCATGCTATTCAACACAGTGAAAGTTTAAATTTTATTTGTATCATTCCTTAACTATATTTCACAGAAAACAGCAAATATTAATGCTATATAGTATATATAGATTATTCAAATAAGAAGTTATAAGTAATTATATAAGGTGCCAGTAGAAACCAAGCAAATTGTTTTTTTAAAATTTAAATCAAAATATTTCAACAATCATTAAATTAAACTTAATAAAATTTTTTTTGTTTTAATTTTATAACTATATAGAATTAAAATAAAAAAAAATTTATTAAATTTGGTTTAATAGTTGTTGAGATATTTTATTTCAAAGTTTTAAAAAAAAATTTACTTGAAAACAATTTGCTTGGTTTTTACTAGCACCCCACATATATATTAATTTATATATATAGTTATTTAATATATTTGTCCATTGGGTTCAGGAATTAGCTAATGGAACCAATGAATCTAGTCAATGGACCTGGGGTCCATTGGTGCCAATGGACAAATGTGCCAACCCTGCCCCTAAGTGCATAATATAAAGCCAGCTTATAATAAAATTTATAGTTAAATGCATGTTCTTTATTCCATAAGTGTGCACTAATTGTCTAGCCTACTTATAAAAACTCTCTTCATAAATATATCCATGTGATTATTAGCTAATCAAATTTTTATTTTTAGGCTACTAAAGCCATACTTATCATTTTATTAATGTTTTCTAATTGGTCTTGATAATATGCATTTAGAAGAGTCTAACTGTATGTATTATATCTGAACTACCCAAAATTAAACAATAAGGAAAATAAAAAAGTTAAAAGTGATAATAAAAAAAGATACAATCAAAAAACATATCCAAATTCTTCAACTATTAGTTTATTCAAAAATTATCATAGTAGCAGATTTTCAGAGTTCATTTACAACTCATATAAATCTAATTTTAAAATTTTGCTAATATGTATTAGATATTTGGGGGTGAGTCAATAGAAATCAAGCAAATTTTTTATAATAAAATTTTTTTATAATTTTAAACAAGAATTAACAAAAACTTGACCAAATTTAATAAAAATTTTTTTAAATAATTTTTACAAACTTGTAGAATTAATTTAAAAAAATTTTTATTGAATTTGATCAAGCTTTTGTTCAGTTATTCTTGTTTAAAATTTTAAAAAAACTTATTAAAAAATATTTGCTTGGTTTCTATTGACTCAACCCCATTTGTTAAATTGCTATTAAATTATAAAGTTAGTTTTTCAAAACCAATTAAGTTTTTTTCTTTTTTTTACTAAACAAAATTGTCTTTAATATAAATTTATATATATTAATTAAAGGTACTAGTCTTGCTAAAAAATAATAAAAAAAATATAAACTACAAAAAGCAATTATTTTGATTATTTATTAAAAAGTTTTTAGATTATCTTTGCTTGACTAATACAAAAATAAAAGCTTAAAGTTTCTTGTTTACTATATTTCTAAACAAAAATCACTAAAACATTTTAAACAAATTAAATAATATCTTTATAACTCTTTGCTTGTAGTAACTATTAATCATTATTTCAAAAAAATTAGAGTTGTTACTTTCTTATATTTAAAATTTTTAAAATAACTTTATATACTAGCTTTAAATATTTTGGTTGATAAAATAATAATAAAATTTTCTAAAAAAAGCATTTATATTATTTAGATTAAAAACAAATTCTGAAGAGATTAAGATATTGTTACTTTGTAAATTAAGATATAAATTCACATTTTTACTAATATTATATGTTTTTTCAAGTAATAAAAAAAAAGTGAGCAGATTTAATTAAACTAATTATTTGATGTATTATTTTATTATATTTTATATTTGTTAATATTTATTTAATATAGTTAGATCTTTCTAAATGCATAGCATTGGGACTATACTAAAAATTTTTAAAAACATGCATTTAGAAAGGTTATATATTTAGAAAGATAAAAATCTATAAGTGTTATATTAAGTTGGTTCAAAAAAAGTATATATTTAGGAAAATTTTATATAGTGTTACAAAGCAGATTGTAATACAATATAACATTAACACAGTATAGTATAGATTATATTTTATTATTTATATAGTCTAATGCAAAAGAATATGTACCTCAAATAGCTATGATTAAAATTTTTTTTAATTTAATTTATATACTTTGATTTTTTGAATCTATAAATAAAGCTAATTTTTTAAAAACTTTGAAGCTAAATAACTTGATTTACTAGCCCATTTTAAATAATTTTACTACCAAAATGTTCATCTTTTTGAGACAATTCCAACAAGCCCAAAATCATAAAAATCTAATTATAGAATTATAAGAAAATGTGCTGTCAAATAAGATGACACACCTACATAGTAGAACAATTGGTTTAACTAATTGTTTTACTATACAGGTGTGTTACCTTATTTGATAGCATATTTTCTTATGATCCTGTGATTAGATTTTTATGATTTTGGGCTTGTTGAAATTGTCTCAAAAAAAATGAACATTTTTTGGTAGTAAAATTATTTAAAACAAACTAGTAAATCAAAAGTTATTTAGCTTTAAAGTTTTTAAAAAAATTAGCTTTACTCATAATTCTAAAAATCAGAGCATGTTTTAACTTTTTAATAGATGATTCACCACTCAATAGAAGCATAATCTTAGTAAAATATAACTCAGATTACTATATAAATTTGCTATAGTGGCAAATATGACAATTACTCAAGGTAAACTTTTTTTATACTAAAATAATCGATCTTGTCAATTAATTGAAAGTTGTAAAGCAGTTCTAATAGTAGTTAAAGCATCAAAATTAGCCTAGTAGGTGTCAAGATATCTTTAAAAAACAGTTTTTTTACTATGTAAACTTTTTTATAAACAATAGTATTGTTTACAAAAAAGTTTACATAATAAAAAAACTGTTTTTTAAAGATATCTTGGCACTCACCAGGCTGATTTTGATAATTTAACTACCATTAGAACCACAAAAATGAGCTTTACAACTTTTAATTAATTAACAAAATCGATTATATTAATATAAAAAAAAGTTTACCTTAGATGATTACCACATTCGCACTATAGTAAATTTATATAGTAATCTGAGTTATATTTTACTAAAATTATACTTCTGTTGAGTGGCGAATTATCCATTAATTTATTATAATCATATATCAAAGATTAGAGTCTTGTAATCTAGTAGTCTAGATGCCTAACTCTTCACAGACAAGGTTAATGATTTAATTATAGCTGGTGATAATTAATTTAATTAATTATCTTTATAACCTTTAGAAGCTTTTGAATATGAAACCTAGTGGTGGTAAAACTATATAGTATATATATTTGGCTAATAAAGAATTCTTAGAAGAAAACCCAAGCTATGAAAAAGACAGACATTATATGTGACATGGGTCACAAATAGTAATATTGCAAAAGGCTATGTATATAAATCTTGAAGAGATAGCCCTTAAGTAGCAACAACATCTAGTAATGGACTTAATTGGAAGAATGGTATAAAGTAGTATCCAGAAATAGTAAAA